TCACTAATACGTAAACATACATAATAAAATACATTGTTGCTATTATTGTTTTTAACATGTCATTATCTGTTAGATCAATTAAGAATAAGAAAAATAAGTTTTTATTTTACTTTCGCCTATTCATTCTCTGATACTTTTCTTTATGTAGATCTTAATTTCTGACCTATATAATCTTCCTTCTCTCTAAAGAACTTCTTTTAGCATTTCTTGCAAGACAGGTCTACTGGTAACAAATTGCCTCAGTTTTTGTTTGTCTGAGATAGTTTTTATTTCTCTTTCACTTTTGAAGGAAAATTTTACGGGATACTAAAGCCTAGACTTTTTTTTTTCCCCTTTCAACACTTGAAGTAGAAAAACTAGAAATAATTTTTTTGACTTTTCAAAAAATAGATATTTTTTGAGCACATATTGTGTGTTGGTTGAGTGACAGGAGAGCAGAACACAATGCAAGAGGATATTAGAACACAGGGTCTCATGGGTCCCCCAAGAAGGTGAACCTGACATGGAATGAGAAGGGCTTCCTCAAGAAGAAGTGTGGTCCTGATGGACCATGAGTAGAGATTATCCACCACAGGGGTGATGGGGCTGCAGAAGCTTCCACAGAGAGGAAAGAGACCTCCCAAAGCACAACCCCCACTTAGGGGAACTGCACATGGCTTGGTGTGGCTGGCACATGCAGTGTGTTTTGGTGACTGGCAAGAGATGAGTTTGGGGAAGGAGGTGATGGTCAGACTAATTTGAAAGTTCCCATGTATATTGATAAGAGTTCTGATTTAATTCTGACATCAGTGAAGAGCCATGAAGAGTTTTAAGCAGTGGGATATGACGACTGACTTGGCTTTTAAGCAAGATGATTTTCGTGGGTGAGGAGCCTGGGGAAGGGAGACTGGTTCGGACACTGTTTCAGTGGTGCTGGGGAAGAAGGGTGAGGGTGTGAACCAGGGCAGTGGCAGTGGAACTGGAGAGGGAAAGAATGATGCCTGATAGGAGACCAGGCCAGCTGACCAGCTTTCTGATCACCCTGATGTAGGCAGGGAGAAAAAGGAAGGAGATTAGGAAGACGCCCTTGTCTCTGGCTTGGGCAGCTGGGAGGATGGTGGTATCATTCACAGAAATAGGGGAAACAGAAGGAAGAACAGATTTTGTGGGGGAAGACAGTGAGTTCAGTTTTGGACATTCTGAGTTTGAGACGCACGTGGGAAATCCAAGCAGTGCTGGTTAGCAGGCGGACACAGGCCTTGGGAGCTCACCTGGGGACTCTGAATGAAGCGGAAATCATGCCTGTGGTCGAGCTTCTCAAAGGGTAATGTGTGCAGTGAGGAGCGAAGGTTCTCTTTGCCAGGATACCGGGGATGCTCACGTTGAAGTAATGCACCAACAGAGCGGAGTTCACAAGGAAACCAAGGAAGAGTGGGCCAAGAAGTGAGAGGAGTGTGAGAGAGAGAACAGTGGGGGCGAGAGCTTTGCGGCCCAGGCTGGCTCGGCACTCACTAAACACTTAAGTAACCTCCGTTTTTCAGCCTCCTTAGACACAGGCAGAGTCAGTGACAGGGGATGTCTCATGATCGTGGGAGGAAGAAACATGCAATTAAGAGCAGGTTTCCGCCACCCCCCACCCATGCTTTTCCCCTTCTTATCCATTGTCCCTTTGGAGGTCTCTCTGGAAGGAAAACACTCAAATTTTGATGGTTTTTGTTTTTGTTTTAAGAATGTAAGCTCCATTAGTTTGCTATTCTTTCCTTTTTAAAAAATTTAAAAAATTTTTATGGCATGCTGAATCTTAGTTCCCTGACCAGAGGCTGAGCCCATGCCCCTTGCGGGAGAAGCATGGCATCTCAACCACTGGATTGCCAGCAAAGTCTCTTGAGTTTTATTTGTTACTATAGCAGAGCCTCACCTGTCTTTCCTGATCTCAGCTCTGAAGTCAGACTGTGTTGGAATTCTGTCTTTACCTCTTGCCAGGTATGTGACTTTAAGTAAACTTCTGAATTCCTCTGGGCTACAGTTTCCTTATCAGTGAAACTGGGATAATGATATCAATCTCATGTAACTCTCTCAGGATAAAATGTAATAAATGTGAAGCATTTAGAACAGTATTAAATATTATAGAAATGTTAGAAGCCAATAGGACAGTGTCAAGAAGTGGAGATGATTTATAGTCATGGTCAGCAATCTATGCTGCTGCTGTAAGTCACTTTAGTCGTGACTGACTCTGTGCGAACCCATAGACAGTAGCCCACCAGGCTCCTCCGTCCACAGGATTCTCCAGGCAAGAATACTGGAGTGGGTTGCCATTTTCTTCTCCACAGCAACCTATGGCCACAGGCCAAATCCACTCTGCTGACTGTAAACAGCATCTTCGTTAAGAATGGGCTTTACATTTTTGGATAGTCAAAATAAATCACAAGAAAATACTGGAATTCAAATTTCAGTGACCATAAATAAAGCTTTACTGGAACACAGCTACACTTCTGTTTAAGTACAGTGTGGCTGCTTTTGCACTACCGTCACAGGAGTGGATCAAAGGCAGCAAAGGTCAAGAAAGATAATGAAAAAGTACTAACTGGAATCAGCAATAGATTCTCAGTTACCTTGATAATGGCCTTATTTGGAATGTGAAAGCATAAACTAGCTTTTGGTGCCAGACTGACCATAGTTTGATTCCTGACTCTCCTGCTTGTTAGCTGTGTGGTCTTGGGAAGTCATTTAAGCTCTCTGAGTTTTAGTTTAACAGAGCTACCTTCTTAAGTCATTATACAGATTAACAATGATGTAGGTAAACCATAAAACACAGCATCTGACTTATTGGAGGTACTCAGAAAAGGCAAGCACCCGATTTATGGACTCTGTTGCCCCTCCCCCCCAAACTGCTATTAGGTAATGCCTTTTCACTTTTAATATTTTATTTTTGTCTTTAGTATTTTGTATTCTCTATGTTTTACATTATATGCCAAGTCTTTGTTCAAATCTCACCTCTTTAATGAGGCCATCCTAGTTAATATTGGCTCTCCTAGTTAATACTGGAATCTGTCCCTACTTCAGCATTCCTAACCTTCCTACCTTGTTCTATTTTTTTTTTCTTCTCATAGCACATATCAATCTAGGATATTTACTAATTTACTAACATGTTTATTGTATACTATCTTCCCCACCTAGATGGATGCTCCTTGTCTGTTTTATACAATTAGATATTCCAAGGGCTGAAATAGTACCCGGCACATAGTAGATGCTCTATTAATATTTGCTAAATGAAAAAAAGAATAGGTGAGGGTTTTTTTTTTTTTTTCCTGTTCAGGACACAATGTGCTCCTTCAATCTGGGGACTTGTCTTTTTTCATCTCTGTAAAATTCTCAACCATTGTCTGTTAACGTGAGGCCCTACTCCCTCCACGTTGTCCTCCTTCTGGAGCTCCTTTTAGACCATGTTGCTCAATCATTCCATCCTCAGTGTCTCCCAAGTTCTTTCTTTGACAAGAACTCTCATTTAGCTCTCTGTTTTATTCTAAGGAAATTTCCTCAGCTTTATCATTCTCTCTTTTTAGCTGTGTCTAGTCTACTCTTCAACTTGTTCATTGAATTTTTATTGCAATGACAATATTTTTTTGTGCCTAGAATTTCTATTTCTTCCTCATTATTCCTTCTTGCCTCTTGCTTTCCATTCTTTCCTGTACTTATTTCAAGATGTCTAATCTTCCCTTTATCTCTTTGGATATTTTAAATATTCCTTGATTAAGACTTCTTTCAGATTTTTCTGTTCTGTCTAGTCCTTGGGGTGTGAACCCTTCATTTGTTAAATCAGCTGGATTTCATGCTATGGTTCATTTCTTGGTGTTCTATAATTTTAGATGGTGAGCTCACCTTTTATCGTGGTTGTTTGGCATTTGCCTCTGCTGAGGTCTTAAGAGTTAGCAACTGAAAAAGCTCCAAAAATTCATCACTGAATGGCCTGTCTTTGGAGACTGAGGATGGTGGGTTGCAGGGTGCAGGTTTAGGGAAACTGCCTTGAGTTCACAAGCTCCACTGTGAAACTATTTGTGTAACCACATGCAAATTACTCTTGGAGTCTTAATTCTCTTATCTATGCAATAAAAATAATAATTCCTATTTCCTAGAGATGTGAGGAATTAGTGAGATAATCAAGTTAAGGAACTTAGCCCAATGTTTAGTATGTACGAAGTGCTTAATAAATGTTAAAAGATATTTTAAATACTTGTCAATATCTTCTCCTTGCTTTGTGATGTAAGGGAAGAAACTTAATGCTTGTGAAAATAGCTTCTGAATACATATGCAAAACAGAGAAACAGCCACTACATTTGTACACTGGTCAGATCTATTTCATTAATTTGTGACATGTTTTAGTTGAAAATGGGGGAAAAATCCAGGAGAACATGCCCACTTGGCTTTCAGCCACTGCAGAAGAGCATTGATGAGAGGTGGATCTTGTAGATGCTTTTTAAAAAATAAGGCCTAATTAGAGAGTGGGATCACTTGCCAACTATTTTGGATCATTAAAACAGAGCAGGAAGAAGAGTTCTTCTGCTGAGAAAAAAATGATCCAGATAGATTTCTTATCCAAATAGAAAATATATGTGACTTCTTGGCTGTGTTGTCCTTGGTCAGCAGTCCCTTTTAAAGGTTAGAAAAAGAAAGCAGTGCCCTGAGTCTCTAAGCAGTGGTTAGTAAATACTGGGCTAATTATTGGGAAGAATGAGACACAGGCAAATTCTTGGGCAAGAGAACCTCATGTAGCTTTACTTCTAGCTCATGTAACTTTTGACCACAGATCTTCCCTTAATTAATTGCCACTTTGAATCTGTGGATAAAGGAGAGTTAGAGGGCCAAAGTTAATGAATAAAAGCTGTATGATTTATCATGGAACAGATTATTAGTTATCTGTAATCATTTCACAGAGTGATTTGTAATTCTAATTTTCATGAAACATTTATAAAGACCAAAATTAAAAACATTTAAATAGACAAATATTTTTAGATTTTAATTACCTGATCTTCATAATCAGATCCTGTATCAATGATCTCTCCAGTGTCCAACATCATTGAGGGATCAAGGTCACTTGAACCTAAGATTAGGAAAACAAATGTTACCTGATGGATGGAGGTTGTCTGTGCATGTTTCTAAAGTAAACTATCTCCCACGAGGTTTCCATATTATCCTTGTGATTATATTAAATTCTCCAATATTTTTAACTCTTCCCATCTGCCAGGCACTGTCTGGTCTGCAGATGGAAAATGCAGATGTAACTGGGCAGGATCCTACAGGCCTTCTCAAGACAGACCCTTCCTCCATATCCTCTGCTCTGGCTTCTCTCTGAAGTACCTAAATAATAGTATCGGATGCACATTTCCTGAGTTGTTTCACAGATGCTAAAACCACCACCAAATGGAAGAAGTTAATTACTTGATGATTGTGAGCATGTAGCCCCCAGACCTACTGTCGCCTAAGGATTGATAATATTTAACCCCTGTAACATCACTCAGTTACTTCACCATCAACCAGAGAACTGGGCATGAGTTGATTACATGTGCTGGGATGCCCCGCCCTCATCTGGACTTTAGAAACACTTGGCTGAAACCCATAGAGGAGTTTGGCTTTTTGAGCACTAACTGTCCTGAACTCCTTGTTTATCACCTTGCAATAAACATGGCACTTTCCTTCACCACAAACCAGTGTCAGTAGATTAGCTTTACTGCATTTGGGGGAGTGGACCCAAGTTTGGTTTGATAACACAGATATCTAGACACTGTCTCTACCCTTAAGAAGACAATGATCTTGTGGAGGAGATTAACTTGACAACAGCAAGGTTCAGAAACCAAAAGGAAAAAGCTACTAATTCTGACTAGTAGTGGAGGAGGTGATGGAAGTAGGATTCTTCCTTCACAAGGAACTAGTTTGTGAGCCCAAACTTTGAGGGTGAATAAGGGTTGTCCAGGAGAAGTGGTTTAGAAGTGTGCAACAGCGACTGAGGAGGAAGGAGCAGGAGCAAAATACAGTGGGAGTAGAGCAAAGGGTTCCCTAAAAAGAAGGGCTGAGTTTGCTCACTTCATGAGAAGCTGATAAGCTTTTCTTACAGCCTTTGGGTCACATTAGTCCCTGAAAGTAGGAAAAATCAGGTTAACTTAATCTGTTAACACAGAGTTTCTACCCCTAGGTACTACAGGTTACACTGAATTACTTACCCATTAATTCCCAAGGCTTACACTTAGACCAGTAATTTTCATAATGGGGCTCCTGAAGCACAATTGAGTCATCATCCTCATCTAACAAGGCTTTCCTGCTGGGCAATCTATATTACCTAGCTAGCCAGAAAGACAAAATTCAGTGCTGCCCATGAAATGCTATGCCCCTGTGAAGAAACCAACCACTCTGCTTCACTGTAAACTTGCCCTTGCAAAAAACTCTTGTTCAGAACATGCAATGAGTAATGTTAAATGAAGATGAACTTCTTAAAAAAAAATGTCAAGCATTTCACACACTTCTCAGATATAGACCTCTCCCAGAGATGCTACTTGCATATTTTCTTTTAGAAAAAGAACCAAGGTAAGTCCCCACACAGTCTTTCCTCATTTCTTCTTCTCTTCTCATCATCACCCCTGCTGTTCACAAAACTGACTGAGTACTAGCCCATCACCAAATCAACTAAGTGCTAAACAGCAACACCACAGTTTATTATGCTTGTAATTTAAAAAATTTTAAGTACAATAAAGATTTTCAGAATGAAGAAGGTTGACCCATCAAATCATTTTGGAAAAGCAACTGTAGAGCTGCCACATATAGTTGAATAACTATGTACTCCTCAATTCGTGGTGATACCCTTGGCAACACGAGTGTTAAAAGTGCCTGTAGGGGTGATATGGAAACTTTAATTTTATATATAATTTTTAAGTAGAAGATGTAATTTTCCTATATTTTTTCTTTAAGCATTTTTCAAATAAAAGTTTTGTAAGGTGTATCTTAGGGCCAAACTACTTGATGTCTCAGGGTCCAGCTGGAAGACCAGTTAAGACCACTTAAGTGTTGGGAGGCAGTAAAGAGGTCAGAAGTAAAATGTATACTTCTCTCTGATAGGATCATAGACATTATAAAATTTAATATTTCATAGAATCCTACTCTGTCACTTTAGAAAAGAGGAAAATGAGCTCTGGAGAAGTTACATAGCTTGGCCAAGGTCATGCAAAAAGTGAGTGAGATCGAAGACAGGTCACAGCTCCCATTTCTAACACAGGCTACTAACTCCAAGTTGTAAGCAGACACAATCCAAAAGGTTTTGTATACATGATCTTCTATTAAAGTGCTCTACAGGGGAGGACCTGGAGGAGTGTGCTGTCTCTTCTATATTCTGAGAAAACAGGAACAGTGAATGAATGATGATGAGATGGGTCACTGAGTAGCTGCAGAAATGGAAGAATGGAAAGTGGAATAAAGGGGTGTCTCTCCAGCCCATGAAAGTCAAGGTGGCTGCTACCGACAGCTTAGTTAAAGGCAATGCCAACTTTAATTACTTCTACAACATGGATATGATTCACCACTGACTAGTGAAAGTGGTGATAGGTACTCAGATGATACCCTCCCCTTAGACTTTAAAGTGGTTCCTTTGAAATGAGCAACATGACCTGAACACAGAGGCTCACTGAATATATAGCTGCTTCAGTTCCTGTGTCCTACTTATTTAATTAGAAACTGTTCTTTTAGTTGTTTCAATAAACTACGGCATGAAGGGGTCTTAAACAGCCCAGTCAACAGAGATGTTAATATTTGAAAATGGAACAAGGTTATTAGAAAACTAGCTTCATTGATGGGAGGATGAAGAGGTCTTTGTTTAAAAAATAAATGACTCCTGCTCATAAGGAAGAAAAGATTGGTTTTCCTAATGAAATGTTTTTAACAGAAATGTTATTGTGTCATCAAGGGATGGAATTCTTGATGTGTCGTTGCTCTTGGAAACAGAACTAATAGATCATAGAAGGCAATAGACAGAGGATATCATTATCTATTCAGATAATGATTGAATAGTGCTCATTTTCTTTTGCTACTGGTTGCTTGGTCTGCTGAAATGATACCTTTAATAATAGTTTAAGGCTTGACATACAAAATAGGGCGGTAAATATAACCATATGTACACATTTTGCATCTTTCACTGGACAATTTAACACATAAAACAACTACAATGATCTTAATACTCAAAAAAGAGAGCAAAATCAGGACATTTTGTAAAAGTGATAGTATGGCTTTCTTTTCCCCATAATTCAAATTTCTCAATTTCTCTTCAGATTTAAAAATATCCTTTCCATAGATAACAGACAAAGGTGTGAGCTGAAATAGAACCCCCCAGGTTCATTCACTGTCACTAGTTTTAGATGTAGAATGGTCTTTGGAAATGTTGTCCCCTTAAATTTAATTGGGAAGATGATACATTGGCTCCAGAGGTACTGGAAGGCTAAACATACTGTGTTCTGGGACAATGGTAAAGATTTCCCTCTTAGTGGATCTTCAATCTGAAGTTTTGGGAAGACCCTCCTCTCATTTTGAGTACCAAATAGAGGAAACCTCCTGCAAGACTGGGATTCCTGGGCAGTGATGGGAATCTGTAGATAAAAGTTCCTCTAACACTTCTCTGAAAGCCAAAGAATTGATGCTTTTGAATTTTGTTGCTGAAAATTCTTGAGACTCCCTTGAACAGCAAAGAGATCATAGCAGTCAATCCTAAAGGAAATCAACCCTGAATATTCATTGGAAGGGCTGATGCTGAAGCTGAAGCGCCAATACTTTGACCACCTGATGGGAAGAACTGGCTCATTGGAAAAGACCCTGATGCTGGGAAAGATTGAAGGCAGGAGGAGAAGGGGGCGACAAATGATGAGATGGTTGGATGGCATACCAATTCAAGGGACATGAGTTAGAGCAAACTCTGGGAGATGGTGAAGGACAGGAAAGCCTGGTGTGCTGCAGTCCATGGGGTTGTAAAGAGTCAGACATGACTGAACAACTGAACAACAACAATGAAAAGATGAGGTATGTTAACTAGTTGGACTGTAGTAATCATTTCATGAATCAAATCATCACATGTATATATATATGTATATACAATTTTTTACTTAAAAAATTTAAAGCAATTGAAAATCATTCACACTTCATCATTGGAAGTGATATGGGAGCTGTGGAGCAGCTGAGATTAAATAGAGAGAGGATTCAGAGAGAAGGAAAGAGCCAAAGCACAAGACCCAGGGGCTGATGAGTCACATAGCAGAGCCCACAGACGTGATTTCTTTAATTGACTGAGTCACTGATGTTTACCAGCTGGGAGATTTTACCTACTGGTGCAGGCTTCTGATTTCTCCGGAATGAGAGAAGGATCCAGCAACACTGGTCAATTCTTTAATGGTAACAACAGTCTGTCTATCAGATCTAATCCCTTGAATATATCTGTCATTTCCACTGTATAATTGTAAGGGATTTGATTTAGGTCATACCTGAATGGTCTAGTGGTTTTCCCTACTTTCTTCAATTTAAGTCTGAATTTGGCAATCAGGAGTTCATGATCTGAGCCACAGTCAGCTCCCAGTCTTGTTTTTGCTGACTGAATAGAGCTTCTCCATCTTTGGCTGCAAAGAATATAATCAATATGATTTCTGTGTTGACCATCTGGTGATGTCCTTGTGTAGAGTCTTCTCTTGTGTTTTTGGAAGGGGGTGTCTGCTATGACCAGTGCATCTCTTGACAAAACTCGATTAGCCTTTGCCCTGCTTCATTCTGTACTCCAAGGCCAAATTTGCCTGTTACTCCAGGTATTTCTTGACTTCCTACTTTTGCACTCCAGTCCCCTATAATGAAAAGGACATCTATTTTGGGTGTTAGTTCTAGAAGGTCTTGTAGGTCTTCATAGAACTGTTCAACTTCAGCTTCTCCAGCATTACTGGTTGGAGCATAGACTTGGATTACTGTGATAATGAATGGTTTGCTTTGGAAATGAACAGAGATCATTCTGTTGTTTTTGATATTATATCCAAGTACTGCATTTCAGACTCTTTTGTTGACAATGATGGCTACTCCATTTCTTTGAAAGGATTCTTGCCCATAGTAGTAGATATAATGGTCATCTGAGTTAAATTCACCCATTCCAGTCCATTTTAGTTCACTGATTCCTAAAATGTTGATATTCACTCTTGCCATCTCCTGTTTGACCACCTCCTGTTTGCCGTCTCCAATTTGCCTTGATTCATGGACCTAATATTCTAGGTTCCTATGCAATATTACTCTTTACAGCATTGGACTTTAGTTCCATCACCAGTGACATCCACAACTGGGTGTTGTTGTTGCTTTGGCTCCGTCTCTTCCTTCTTTCTGGAGTTATTTACCCACTGATCTCCAGTAGCATACTGGGCACCTATCAACCTGGGGAGTTCATCTTTCAGTGTCCTATCTTTTTGCCTTTTCATACTGTTCATGAGGTTCTCAAGGCAAGAATACTGAAGTGGTTTGCCATTCCCTTCTCCAGTGGACCATGTTTTGTCAGAACTCTCCACCATGACCCATCCATTTGGGTGGCCCTACACAGCGTGGCTCATAGTTTCATTGAGTTAGACAAGGCTGTGGTCCATGTGATCAGTTTGGTTAGTTTTCTGTGATTGTGGTTTTCGCTCTGTCTGCCCTCTGATGGAGAAGGATAAGAGGCTTATGGAAGCTTCCTAATGGGACAGACTGACTGAGGGGGAAACTGGGTCTTATTCAGAATAAGAATAAGAATTCCGGATGGGTGGGGCCATGCTCAGTTAATATTTAATCCAAAGCTATGGTATTTCTAGTAGTCATGTATGGATGTGAGAGTTGGACTATAAAGAAAGCTTAGCACCAAAGAATTGATGCTTCTGAACTGTGGTGTTGGAGAAGACTCTTGAGAGTCCCTTGGACTGCAAGGAGATCCAACCAGTCCATCCTAAAGGAAATCAGTCCTGAATATTTATTGGAAGGACTGATGCTGAAGCTGAAATTCCAATACTTTGGCCACCTGATACGAAGAACAGACTCATTGGAAAAGACCCTGATATTGGAAAAGATTGAAGAGGGGAGGAGAAGGGGACAGAGGATGAGATGGTTGGATGGCATCATTGACTCAATGGACATGGGTTTGAATAAACTCCAGGAGTTGGTGATGGATAGAGAGGCCTGGCATGCTGCAGTCCATGGGGTGGCAAAAAGTCAGACATGACTGAGTGACTGAACTGAACTGAACTGAACAATAGTCTGGGGCTGTGAAGTGGCGGCCTCTGGGAAGGAGAGGTTTATTTCCAGTTTACCACAGGCTCTCCTGGGACCACTTCATTCACCAGGGCTGTGACAGATAGAAGGGGTTTACTCTAAGGCTGGAGTAGAGGTCTTGCACATTTTCAGGGGCCTTGGGAATGGAGGGGGGTTGGGGAGTGTGGCTGTGAACACAGACCTCTCTGTTCATAAGCTCAGAGCTGTAGGAAGGCAGGCGGGGCCCTTGGAAACCCCTGCTATGGGCCAGGCACTGTGCACTCTACCAAGGGGACCCGAAGAGGATGAAGACAGAATTTACCGAACGTACTTTAGACAGCATAGCTACATCACTGTAGGATGAGGCCACTTTGGAGAAATGCTACTTGAGAGTCATAAAGTGCTGGAAGTTCTAAAGAAGGGGCAGTTTAAATTTTCTCCTCTGCTTTGCTGTTTGGAAACTGAAGGTATCTATCACATAGATATTTGTTGTGAGAGGTCTAAAAGGAATGTTATAAATTAAATATTAACTTAAAAACACAGGTGTCAAGACTTCCCTAGCAGTCCAGTGGTTAAAACTCTGTTCTTCAGTGTAGAGAGCTTGGGTTCAATCCCTGGTGGGAGAACTACCCCTAAGGGTGGTCAAACAAAACAAAACAAACAAAAAACATAGGTATATAACTTTTTCTTGAAGCAGTGGTACTCTTGTTTACATGATCTGACATGCCTCTCAATATCCCTTCTTTCCTGTAACAGCCTATCTTTCTGTAAATATCACTGGAAAATCAGGCAGGAGAGTTTATATCAGTTATCTGTGCTCTGTGGGTTTGCCCAGAAAGAGTACTGCCTTGTCTTTAAAAAAAACTCTTTCTTAAAACCTGTTCTTAGTGGGCTTCAAATACAGCTTAAAATTTTAGGTGTTTAGCCTTTTTTTTACAGCCCAGAACTTTTGGTCTTTATTTACTGAGGCTGTAACTGAGAAGAAAGGTCAGGACTGAGACAAAGATTTGAGAGTCATCTACATAGAAGTGATGGTTGAAACCATGAGGGACAATGAGTTGATGCAGAGAACGTGTATAAGAGGGTGAGAAAAGGGTCAAGGATGGAACTGTGAGTACTGACTACTTGAGCAGATATACAGTGTCAAACTTCTAGATATAGAAAGAAAAGGGGCAGGGCTACAACAGGGGCTGTGGGTTGGAATGGGGGTATCTATCAGACCCAAGGGGAGGATTTTTCCCTGGTTCAGGAGAGACATATATGTGTTAGGGCATCCTGGAGCAGTTGTAACTTTTATTTTGCTCAAGTTATGGGTTAGATCAACTTTTAAAAATTATAGCAGCATAGAAGTAGTGAAGTGTTAATTGCTTAGACACGTCCAACTCTGCAATGCCCTGGACTGTAGCCTGCCAGGATCCTCTGTCCATGGAATTCTCCAGGCAAAAAATACTGGAGTGGGTTGCCCTTTCCTTCTCCAGGGGATTTTCCCACCCATGTCTCCTGCATTTAGGACAGATTCTTTACCATCTGAGCCTCTAGGGAAATCCAATAGTAACATAGATCCTGTGCTATATTGTGACTACCTGCTAATTTGCCTGTGCAATGACTGGAAGAATGGCAGTAACCATAAGAACCAGATACATGGCTCTTTTCTATGCTGTTTTGTACCTTTATTTTTAAGCCAGAAGGTATAAAGCTCTGAGGACAGCATCATCCTCACACCCTTACAGCAGTATGTTGAGCTCCAGCATTACTACAAAGCCCCAGACTCTTGGCAGGGGATCAGGGTGTACTGTAGCCCAAAGGACACGGTGACTTACCTGCTGCAGCCTCTTTGTTTGGAAATAACTTGCTGTCAACTGCCATGCTGATGTCATAGAACACCTCATCCTCGTCCCGGTCGGCATCAAACTGGGAGAAATCAAGAAAGACAAGTTGAGAGCATGAGAATACATAAATCAATTCAGTCCAAAATATAATGAGCATGCATCAGATAACTCTATCTCTAATGAAGGATGATAACAGGAATTAAAGTCCTTGAGTTTTTAATCAGATATTTAGAGGATTTTTCAAGTCCAGACCTCATATGAAACAGAAAGGGGTGTTAGAGAGTAAGTGCACAGTCACTTATGGTTAAGAAAAATGGGTATAATTTTCTTAATTTCTAAAACAAGCTTTGGAAAAATTCATAACTTGTGCCTTTCTGATTCTTAGTTTTTTGAAATACCCCCCCATCCTCCTTCATGAAAATATTTCTAATCAACAGGGGGAATAGATTTTCCCATTTGTTGCTACAAAAAGGAAAAAGAACCCTCAAACAAATTTTAGCTACTATACAAATATAGATGCTATTCTATAGGTATAGTCAATAGACACTATAGGTTTAGATGTAACAAAAATTATAGATTTAAATCTTGAACCATTCTCTAAAATTTACAAAATTTTAAATATTAAATGTGGCTACATTTTAAAATCCTCTATTTCCCAAGTTGTTCAATGGTTTTTAGAAATACACTTTAGTCTCTTTAGTTTTGTGAATTACAATTGACATACTATAAATTGCACATATTTAAAGTGTACAAAATGATAAGCTTTGACATCTGTGCACACCTGTGAAACCATCATAAAAATCAAAATAGTGAGCACCTCCATCACTCCCTAAAGTTTCCTTGTGCCTCTTGAGAATCCTTTCCTTCTGCCCCCTCATCAGATAATCACTGATATGTTTTCTGCAACTAGAGATTTCTTTGCATCTTCTAGAATTTCAAGTAAAAGGAATAGCACAACTTGAAACGTTTTTGTCTGAATTCTTTTAGCATAATTATTTTGAGATTTTATCAAGCTCACTCCTTTTCATTGCTCAGTAGTATTTCATTGTATGGATATATGATTTATTCCATCCTAGACATCTTTTGGGAGAAGGATATGGTAACCCATTTCAATACTCTTGCCTGGAAAATCCCATGGACGGAGGGGCCTGGTAGGCTACAGTCCATGGGGTAGCGAAGAGTCGGACACAACTGAGCGACTTCCCTTTCACTTTTTACTTTCATGCATTGGAGAAGGAAATGGCAATCCACTCCAGTGTTCTTGCCTGGAGAATCCCAGGGACAGAGGAGCCTGGTGGGCTGCTGTTTATGGGGTCACACAGAGTCGGACACGACTGAAGCGACTTAGCAGCAGCAGCAGCAGATGTCTTTTATCTTGAACACTGTAGTTTTTATCCACAGATATTTGATTTGAGTCTTAGAAACTATAGAGAGCTTTGAAGATATGAAATGCAAGGTTTTGAACATATGAAATACAACTATAATAACTTCTAAAAATATTTTTGAGCTTTGTTCTGGAATGAAGTTTGATTATTGGAAACAACTTGATCGTTTCAGGTCATGTGTTGAAGATTTATTAGACTGGGCCACAGCAGTATTTAGTTTCAGTTCAGTTCAGTCACTCAGTCGTGTCTGACTCTTTGCGATCCCATGAACCACAGCATGCCAGGCCTCCCTGTCCATCACCAACTCCCGGAGTTCACCCAAACCCATGTCCATTGAGTCAGTGATGCCATCCAAGCATCTCATCTTCGGTCGTCCCCTTCTCCTCCTGCCCTCAATCTTTCCCAGCATCAGGGTCTTTTAGTTTATGGTTAATTATTTCCCGCTGTTCTGGCAAAATTTTTTAAAGTACTCTCCCCAGTGCCTTGTGAATTAAGGGATTTTTTTCAGTCTGGCTGGTAGAAACAGGCACTCTTCTTAGCCCAGTATGAGCTCTAGCTACTGTTCTTGCTGGTCCTTTTGGGTAGTTGTTCCCTCAGCTTTGCATGGTTTCCTCACATGCATGCCCTGATTCGTACTCTGCTGGATCCTGCAGATCTCCAGAGTTTTCTCTCTGTGCATCTCTTGCATCTTTGATACTCTGTCCTTTGAACTCCAGCCACCTTGGTGTCTTGGGGTCTCAGCTCCATCTGCTCAACTTGTGAAGTCCACCAATCTCCCCAGGGCTTCCTTCTCCCTGCGCTGGAGCCTGGAAAGTCTCTAGGGGTCAGCTGAGGGCAATCACAAGGCGCATCACATGTTTCCTTTCTCTTGGAGAATCATCTGATCATTTGACATCCAATGTCTTAAAATTGCTTTTTAAACATATATTTTCTGTTTATTTCTGTTTGTTTGTTTCATGTGGGAGGGAAAATCCAGCCTCTTTTATTCCATCATAGTTTTTTTTTCCTCTCTATTTTTTGGCTGTGCTGTGCAGCTTGTGGAATCTTAGTCCGCAGACCAGGGATTGAACCAGTGTCCCCTGCAGTGTAAGCTCGGTGTCTTACCCACAGGACCGCTAGGGAAGTCCTTAGTCCATCTTGGTTTCTAAGCTTAATTATTACGTTAAACACATTTGAAAAGATTTAAGTGATTTATTCCTTTATATTTTCCTACTGAAGTGCTTCATTATTTTTAGTGATGGGAATTCAGAAGACTAAATTAGAAAGTTATTACCTAACCTCTCCTCACACAGTTAAAGCACACCTGTGTGATGCTTCAACATACTTTCACTGTGTCACGTCAGCCCATGGGAAAGGTGAGGCAGATCGTCTGATTTCTATTTTACAGGCAAGGAAATATCTACACAGGTATTATTACTTTCTCAAGTCAAACACCAAATATGCAGGAGCAGTAGGACTTGAACTTAGGATGGTTGACACTTGCCATCCTACTAGGCTATGCAGGATCATCATAGTCAGATAAACAGAGCCCTGGTACTCAAACAAGTGTTAACACAGCCTTTTGTCTAAATGCAAGAGGGAGAAAGCATATGGTGGTTAGGCAGATAAGGCAAGATTAGTGCCACCTTAATGCATGCTTCCCACACCTGTAGACTGTGGCTTTTTTTTTCTTTCAAAATATGTGTCAGCTATGATCAGTATGGGGTAAGCTCTACTAATAGAAGGTTTGTTTTTATTTTTCTTGGACTTTTGAAAGATAGGTAACAGTGTTTCATTTTATAAATTAAAGCAGAACCAAAGCAAACAGAACCAAAGCAAAACTTATAGATTAACACTTTACTGGGGGCTGTGTGTGTGTGTGTGTGTGTGTGTGTGTAATGCCAGGGCAGTAAGTTTGAAGGAAAAGGGGAACTGAGACAAAGCAAGAAGCGAAGCAAATGTAAGGTGACATAGTACTGATCTGAGCCCCAGCTTCACAAGAAGTCACAGCTGGTCTCCAGAAAGACTAAATGGAACCGGAATATCTTAGAACAGTCTGAGGGGGAAGGAAGGGAGAGGCATATATATGCTGTCTTTTAGTTTACAGTCTTCCACTGGTCCCAGTTTTCTTCATGAAGAGTTGAAGTTCCCCAACCTCTTGTTTTGGTTGCCTAGATCCTAGGGCAACACCTGGAAGCCAGATCCCATGCTCCAGGGAGAGGCAGAGTGTGTGAATCTAGAAGTGCTGAAAGGCACCAACCCCCTGCAGGTCTGGTCTGGCTGGGTCCTGGGGCCGTCTCTGTGTAGGCTCTCACCAGGTTTGGGTGATGAAGCTCAGTCCTCAGTCCTGAGGAGGCCTGGGGGGTGGGTGTCAGCTACCCTGGAGGGCCAGGCAGCAGTGGACCGACAGTTCTCCATTCAACAAGCAACAGAGGCCTGGGGCACATGGGCCAAGTGAGTCAAGGGAGGCTTGTAAACTGGCTTAGGCAGCTGAAAACTCAACCAGACCTGGATTTGAATTCCTGCTTCCCCTATAGCTGCTGTCTGACCTTGAACAATATATTTCCCTGTGCTTAGCATCTATACAATGTGATTATTGTGAGGACTAAAGAGACGGTGTATTTAACACACCAGTACAGACCCTGGCCTAACTGCGGTCCTTCATTGAGAGAGTATTTTCTATACACCTTTGATTGCTTCTTTATTTTGGACAAGGGAGGTATGTGCTTATGCACACACACACACACACACACACACACACACATGCACACTTTTTTTTTTAAACTTGAGGATTGTGAAATATGATATATGAGTGACTTTGAGATTTTCTAGGAGATAGCCTATCCTCCAACTGATTTGAACAAGGATATGTTTGGCTCTGGCACAATAAAGTGCTTAATTGTCCAATCCAAAAGGCAAAGTACCCAAAGTAAAACATCTTTCACGAAAGCATTCAACAAATATTTGAGGAGTAATGACTATGTCCTAGGTGGACTCTGGAACTGACCACTCCTAAGCACTTGGATAATGAACAGGGAGCCCCAAGGAAGGAAGATGACATCCACATGGCCAACTCAACTCCGGGATTATGCAAAAGCTGATGAAGCCCAATGACTTCTGCATCAGGACCACAGAATTTAACTTAGATTTTCTTATTTTCTGTAACATACCATGTTGGCAGTTCCAGGACTAGAATGGGACTCTTCTGCCTAGCTGTTTGGCAAATAACATGACATTCTGATTTTGGAGAGCATTCTGACTGAGTACTATCAGGACAGCTGCTATTTCAAGGAAAAGGTATTTACGAAATAATAACATTCAGTGTTGGAGAGGTTGTGTGTATGATAAGTACAGAACTGGCTTTTCAATCATCAGACATTTTACCTATTATTTGTTTCTGCACAAACCATACACATCAATGGTTTTCAACCAGAATAATGTGGTCCACCCGCTTCCACCCCTGCCCCAAATTTGACAATGTTGCTAGATATTTTTGTTTGTCACAACTGGCAGGGGAGAGACTGGCCAGGGATGCTGCTAAATATCTTATGGTGCACAGGACAGCTCCCTCTCAACAAAGAATTATCCAGTCTAAAATGTCAGTAATGCCAAAGTTGAGAAACTCTCATTTATACCAAAGCATTCCCAGTTTTGGGGTTTCTAAAAAGTGTGTTGAGACTCGAGTAGCAATTATTCTCTTCCTCTTCTCCTCTCTCTC